TTTATTTTGTACTAGGATATGTAATTGAAAACTACTAACTGGGGTGCTTGATTCTTCAATTTGGTTACATTATTGATTGTCAAAATAGTTAGCAACATGAAGGATGAGTGTGTCTTAACTTCAGACATAATCAGTAATCTTCTAGACAACGTAAAAGAAAGAATCTTGATGTGTTTGCCAGTACAAGATACGGCAAGGACAAGTATTTTGTCAAGGAAATAGAGGTATATCTGGGTAAAACTTCCCCAACTTGTATTTGATGATATGTTCTGCAGAGAATCGATCAGCAAAACCAAGAATGAACTTGTGATGACTATTTATGAAGTTCTGTTACTTCACTTTGGACCAATACCCAAGTTCACACTATCTTTATCTAGACTGGAAAGTTTCCTGAGATTGACAAGTTGACAATTTTTTTGTCAAACAATGGTATCTGGGACTTAACCCTTCACATTTGGAAGGATATACCTTATAAATTGCCATCATCACTATTTGCATGTCTACAACTTGGGAATTTGAATCTTCATTCTCGTATGTTTAAGCCTTCACCTGAATTTAAAGGATTATAGAAGGCTCCTTTGCCTAGAGCTTCACGAAGTTCTCATTACTACCAACATATTATCAAGGTTAATCTCGGGTTCCCCTCTACTTGAGCGACTAACAGTTGAAAGCTCTGCCAGTTTCGATCATCTTGAAATTGCAGGTCCTAATCTTAGATTCTTATGCTGTGAAAGCCGTATTAGTTCTATTTCTTTCAAAAATGCCCCTCACCTTGTGGAAGCTACACCTCGTTTGCATGAGAACATGAACATGTACTCGTAGAATCATATGATTCGGGCATACTTATTTGGTAGTATACCTGTTATTGAGTGTCTGTAATTGGACTGTTATTATGTTATGGTGGGATTAGCTTAGTAAACTGCTTTTTTTTTTTATAATATTTACTTATTCAGCCATATTTCTTTGATTTTATTTATTTGTTTATTTGTTTTCTCTTTTACTTCTAGTACATGGCTGCTGGTGTTGCATCAAATAGGCTTTCAACGGCTTTGAGCTATTTTAAAATTCTGAAGTTGTCTGAAATTTATTTTGTGGAATAAGATGAGATCTCTGCTATTTTTTGCTTAGTTAGAAGCTCCCCAAACTTGGTAAAAATTTCAATTCAGGTAAGTAATGACAGACATTATTATTTCCAGTATTTGTAATGTTTATTTTGAATTTTTAGGCTGAGTCAGTTCCGTTTTCTTCTTCCTAGGCATTTAACAATGAAACTACTACTCTTGATCCTGGTCTAGAAATTTTAGAAATTCAAAACTGGTCGAATGTCTCTTTAAATCAACTTCGAGAAGTGGAGATGCAAAGGTTTTCTGGCAAGAGGTCTGAGTTGGAGTTGATTAAGCTACTATTAGCTAAATCACCGATCCTGGAGACAATGCTTATTGAGCCCAACGATTGCTAGCAAAGGAATGAGGATTTTGAAAGAGTTGACAAGATTTTAGGGCTTATCACCTCAAGTAGAAATCACATACAATGATCCAGATGAAGCTGAAGAAGAAGTTTGGCAGATGGTTTGTCTTTTTTTCTTTTTTTTTTTAATTTTTTTTTTATGAGCTTTGGTTTGAGTGAGACACAAGGGAATTGATCTTTTTGGAGTTTGTTTCCTGCTTGGTCCTTTGTTTCATTAAGGAACTCAGTTATAGGATTTGGTTAGGTTTCTGTGATGTTTCTTTAATGTCATACGTCTTAAGAAATTTAAAAGCCTAATTTAATTTAATGAAAAATAAATAAAAATCAATTTGAGTTTTCATTGTGTTGCAACATTTTGGTCAAACCTTGATTTGAGAAATCATGACTCTGATTATTTTTCAGATTTGTAGCTAAATGGAAAATGAGATTCATTCCAATTGACTCAAATAGTTGGTACAATATTTATTAGACTTGGTTTTCTTTTTTGGATATGAGAACAATGTAATTTTGGTACTATAAATATGCATTAGGTGGTTTTTAAGCGTTGGAGGTAGTTTTCGACAAGTGGTGGTGTTCTAAGATAGTTGGTTGCAATCGGTTGTAATTGTTGATTACAAGAGGTGGTTGTTGAGAAAAATAAATACTCAAGTGAGTTTTTATTTATAATTGTTAAAGATATAAGAAAAAAATTTAAACATAAATAGTATTGAAATGAAGTAATTATGTTATATTTCGGGAGTTTTAGGTTATCAGTGGAATTAAATGGTTATATATTCCAAAATGAGAAAAATGATAGAAAAATCACAAATACTATTTGATGGCCGGCACATGGTGAGTGATATTAACGAACTCATGTAATAATTTTTGCAAAAATATTATGGAAAGAAAATGTGTGGTAAGAGTTTGTTGGTCTATGGAAGTAGAAACTAGGGACACAATTTGAGTGGACTTAACTCGAGCAATGTAGGCTCGGTTTGAAAATTTTTAGGATTTGAACAATATAATTTGGAATTCATAATAGATTTGAAAAAGAAGTTTAAAAATTTAAATAAAATTTGCCCAAGCCTAGCTAAAACACAAGGGACTTTTTATAGGTCCCTGATATTAAAATTTTATAGCATAAAGTACATTCAATATTTTTATAATGTCTAAGGTCCCTTAACATTAATCCAGAGAAATTTCAATCTAGATAAATTCTTCCTAGAGAAATTCTCTCCAGAGAAATTCTGGACTTTTCAAAGAATTTCTCTGAGTTCAAACTAGAGAAAATTCAAAATTTTCTAAGTTCAAACCAAAGAAAATTGAACAATACAGAGAAAATTAAACCTAGAAATCCAAAAGCAGTAATACAAAACCAGAAATCTAGAGAAAATTCACACAATTTTCACATTCAGAGAATACTTTGATCCAGAGAAATTCTGGAAAGACTAGAAAATTTATCTGATGTTTTGGTACTGGGTTCAATATTGTTTGTTAATGTGGTTGAGAGAATTTTCTCTATATTTTTGACCGAACCAGAGAAAATCCCTTTAAAACCCACATTAAATCCATTTCAATACAACCATTGCAATTCAATTCAAGCTCCTTCAATAACAACAATGGCACACAGCAAAACTGTAATACAAAACCAGAAATCCAGACAAAATTCACAAAATTTCCACATCCAGAGAAAATTCTGGAAAGATTAGAGAATTTCTCTGATGTTTTGGTATTGGGTTCAATGTTGTTTGTTAATGTGGTTGAGAGAATTTTCTCTGGATCAGATTTTTCTCTGTATTTTTGGTCGAACCAGAGAAAATTCCTTTAAAACCCACATTAAATCCATTTCAATACAACTACAATTCAATTCAAGCTCCTTCAACAGCAATAATTGTTGACACAACCACCAAACCCATTTTGATCATTGCAATTGGCATTTACATACATTTAATTACAAATAGATTAAATATATATATTTGCTTCTGTGATGAAATCTCTATTTTTATGTTTCTGATTTCATTTACCCATAACTATTGAAGAATAAAAAAGTGGTGTAGATCTTTGTTGGCAACATCGAGAGAAGATGATTAATGAATCGCTATCTCTATTGTATATATAACATAGAGATAGGAAGAAAAATATGTATAGAAGTTATGCATGCGCGCACACATACACACACACACACACACACACAGAGAAAGAGAGAGAGAAGAAGAAGAAGAAGAAGAAGAAGAAAATGAACCGATACCAAATCAACGGACTCTTTTTGATCTCCTCAAGACTAATTCCCTTAGTTCCACCCCACCAAGGACTTCCACTCCTACTTCATTCTCTAGAACCAATGCCAAGTTGTGTAAGTCCCTCTCTCTCTCTCTCTCTCTCTCTCTCTCTCTCTCTCTCTTATATGGGTCTAAAAAGCAGTGATGATACGCAAACTTGGAACGCAGAGGCATACCATTCTCGAAGGACCAAGCAATGGGAGTGTTCAACTCGATTTGGAATGCAGACGATTGGGCAACGCAAGGAAGTTGAGTGAAGACAAACTGAACCAACGCACCATTTGTGACCACCTACACAGACTTTTAAATTGATGTGTATGGGTGCCTTATCATGATGGTGGACACAGGCAATGCACGACGACGGAGCGAAGAAGGTTGTGACGAAAGAGGTGATCGATTTTGTAAGGTTGTTGGAGAATGAGATTGACAATTTCACTATTACCCTTGTTGTTGAATGACTGACTGAATGTTCGGCGTATACAAATTCCAAAGATTCGAACAAACTAAAATTCAATAGATATAATGTTACTCTTAATAACTATACTTTAAAAAAATGTTAATAAAATAATTTTAACAAATTAATCAATCAAAACAATTCAAACAATTTGAACAACTGTGGCTTTGTTTGGGAAGAAGGATTGGGTTGGGTTTGAGGTTATTTTAGTCATAAAAAGATAAAATAATTTTCTTAACTCAATAAGATAAAACATCACATCAAACCCATAATCATTACATTATTTTTCTCACAAAAAGTCAAAAAAATTCTTCAAAAATGAAAATTTTTAACCATAAATTAAAATAACTACAAAAAAATCAAAAAGTCAACCCGTTCCCAAACGAAGTAGTATGTAATGAAAAATGATTAAGAGAACTAAAAGTGATGTTCTGATAGCACCACTACTGATATGACAGTGAGTTATACCTTATTTATTTTTATTTTTTTTGACATCTTTAATATATTAGTGTTATTAGTAATTTTTTTTTTTAATTTTTAAAATGGTGTGATTCATTCTTGGTAGGTAATAAGTTGGGTTACAAAGGGCGCTCGGACCGACTTGGATGAGTTGAGATTCTCTTCTTGTGCTTTTTCATTGTCTTTCAATTTGTAACGGTAGAGATATACTTTGAGTTGATCCAATGATCTAGTTTTAAATAGGAAAAGTAAATTTAAATTTATTTTATTATTTTATTATTTTTAAATAGCCAAATCTCAATGATTGAATCAACTCAAAATACATCTCTACCATTGCAAGTAAGGATACAAACAAAGAGTTGAAGCAGAAGATCTCAACTCGACTTGGACAGCTCACAATACAACTCTCAACCTGCCCGAAAACGGAAAATTATCCTAGTCGGAATTTCCTATTCACACGTCTCTGTCTGTCGGATGTTTTTCGTATTGCCACGTGTCCATGCAGAAGAAAAACTGCGGAAAACCCTCTCTCTGTGCGTATCACTTTCTTTCTCTCCAAAAAACCAGCTTGCTCTGCCTCGGCCACAGTTCTCTCTCTCTCTCTCTCATCGTTTAAATAAAATCTGAATATCTTGCTCGAATTTTGATTCTTTGAAGTCTGTAATTTTTAACATTTGGAATTTGGTAACAGGGTTTCCAAGTAGATAGCAGACATGCAGATAGAACCAACCATGATACGAGGAGGTTGAAAGACACACCCCCCAAGTAAAGATTTCTTCTTTGGTCTTTCATTTCTGTTTTTTCAATCTTTTTTATTTTTTTAAATGTTTGAAATCTAATCTTGTTTTGTTTTGATTGAGGAACTCAGTTATAGGATTTGATTTGGTTTGGTTTCTTTGATGTTTCTTTGATTCCGTACTGTAAGGAATTTAAAACCCTAATTTACCCCAATTTTTTTCCATCAAACCTTGATTCATGAAATCATGAGTCTGATAAATTTTTCAGATTTATTCAATTCAACTCACTCAAATAGATGGTACGATATTTATTTATTTATTTATTTTTTTTGGGATTTCAGAATAATGTGATTTTTTGGTACTATAAATATGCATTGCATTTCATATTGATTTGATGATGTCTTTTTTAATTTCCTAACATTCAAATTCTTAAAAGGTAAGTACAACAAGCAACTCATCTCTGGTTTTGTTAGATAAATTAGAGAATAATTAACCCAAAAAAATAACTTCAACAGACTAACTTTTTTGGGTGGATACAACAGACTAACTAGTACGATCCTTATTTTAAGGGGTTTCTATAGTAACTCGCCAAATGTAGTGAGTCGTTATGTAGGGCAAATTACACTTTTACCCACTCTTAACTATTGTCCCATGCCCTTTATAATTTGCCACACTTCATCTACTAAAATTTTCAATCAATGGAGTGCAAGTGAGAATGGTGTCATTTTTTACGTAATTCTCACTTACATTGTGCGAAAAAGGGTATCATTCATAGTTCACTAAAGCTTCATTTCTTTTCAAGTATGTCCAAAGTTATTAAATGGATTCAAGATAACTCTCCTACCGTATTGCTCAACATCATTACTAATGGTTCAAAATAGAATCCATGAATTAAAGGCTGAACATTCCCTGTTAGGGAAGTGCAGCTACAATGTGCACTTGCACATTGTAAGAAAAGTTGTGATTTTTGTGGTGAAAGTTTTGATTTTTTTTAATGGAAGTTCCGATTTTTGTGGTGAAAACTATGAATAGTGACGTTAAGATGTGAAAAATTTGTACTTCTTGTATAAGGTGCATACTATATGCACCCTCTTTCGGGTGCACATGGTAGCCTTTTCCTATCAACTAAATTCATATGTTATGTAAGAATTTATGTATTATTGATTGATGTCTTGATTGATAGATTACAAGATTCATTAATTACAATTCCTATACAATCTATATATAGAAGAAAATGTGGTAGTAGGTGTAGTGGAGGTGATAGTGGGTTAGGTGAAGTGGAGTGTGTAGTGGAGTAGAGGTAGGTGAAGTGAGAATCCAAGTGGAAAAGTTTACCTCGATTCAGAAATTAGGCGACTGGAGGCAGTCGGTGCACTAGTAGTGGCATGTCACGTGTGTTGGGCAGTAAGTACACAAAAGGACAAAATGTTCAGATCAAACAGCGGGACAGTTATACTCAAGAACTGACCAAGCATCATCATAGGTGCTCGCTCATGGAATACCATCCATTTAATTGAATACAACCAAACATATCCAACAATCTTAATTAGGTGTCACAGTCTAGTTGGGTTTATAGTTCTAATTCCCTTACATATTCTCCAATCAAATACAAATTAGACAAAGACTGACAATGCAACATAGTGTAAATGAGTCTCGATCTAGTTAAGTTTACAGTTTGAATTCCTTTTGATATATCCTGCCATCAATAAAGATGAGTTGTTGTCTAGAAGTGGAAAATTGAAACCTTAAATGAGTTCATAAATGTTACTAAACATATAAAATTAGGAGAATATCAGACAAATGGAAAACATGGCAAATGATTGCAAATCAATGTAGTGCAAGTGGGAATTTTTCTATTTTTGCATAGTTCTTACTTGTACCGGGTGTGCCTCACTTGCACACCGCAGTAAACATAAACGTTACAAAACATATAAAATTAGGAGATTATAAGACAAACAGGAAACATAGAAAATAATTGCAAATCAATGGAGCAATTGAGAATTGTGCCATTTTTTGCATAGTTCTCACTTGTATCAGGTATGTCTCACTTGCACTCCATTAATTTGCAATTATTTTTTCTGTTTTCTATTTTATTTGATTATCCCTCTATAAATATGAAAACTTTGATGGATATCATTTTTAGTAATTGCTTTTTAATAATTTAAAAAAAAAAACTAGTATTTATTATTGTCTTGGTTAAAAGTGATGGGAACTTCCACATGAAGTTTTACAAAAGGACTTGATTGGATTTGTTATATTGGTGGAATCATTTGGAATACTTTCCATAAAAACAGATTGAGCCATCTCATGTATAGATTTGAACTTAGCTAGTTTGGTGAGGAAGGTGGTTTAAACACAACTTCTCCTTACCAAGAAATTCGCAGACTGTTGGGATTGTTATTCCCATGCTTAAAGCAGTTGAGATGAAATTTTAATGAAGCCAAAATTGAGCCTAATCATGGTATCACCACTTATTGACTTTAATGGGTTAAAGTTTTTTTTTTTTGTCGTTTATAGGAATGCAACGAAGTCGATTTTTTTTTCCAAATTTGCTCATTAATTATGTCAATGAAGAGTCGTAGATCCAACAATCAAGAAAAATAATATGATCACTATAAATGGAAATGTAAGGCGGAGGAGAAGACCTAAATTGAGATGAGATATGATAGTAAAAATGATATGTATTTATTTTATTTAACTAAGCACATAACCCTTCACAAAACAAAATAACAAAGTATTCATATTGCTGATCCCACTTGATTTGGGCGCAAGGTTTAGTTTGCTTTGCTCATTGATTTCGTGATGAGAATTGACTCTCTATTGGATTCATCTAATTTTCATGTCTGGGGGCATTAGAACAATTATAGTTATAATATCAATTAGTAATAGGTAATGCAATAAGGAATCAACTTGTTGGTAGGAATGTCTTTTGCAATAGAAGAGTCAACAACTATGAGCATAAAGGAATTGATTGGGATTGTTATATTCTGCTTAAAATTGTTACATAATCACAAATCAACATCTAGGGGATTTCTAGATTTTTCAATGAGCATAAAGGAATCAATTGAGTCTATCTGCCTATCAAGAGAGAGACGGAGGCTGCTGCAGGAATTTCTTTGTTGTCTTCACTCAATGCTACCCCTCCCATATTGAACTCCAAAGGCATCTCTGCTAACCATCCCCTCCTATCCATCTCCAAAATTTGACTCTAGGAAGCACAACCTTGCAGACCAACCACCTCCACAAACCTGCCCGCTTATTTTGTAGGCCATGACACTCCAACAATTGTTTTCCTCTCAAACTCCCCAAAAATATACCTCATTTAAGAGATGCCTCCTGAACTTCCACCCTACCTATTGAACCTCAAATTTGATCAAGGTTAGCAATATTTGGTAACCTTTTCCATGCTCAACGACCACAGAACCACCACCTCCCCCCTTCCTTCTGCTGCAACTTCAATGTTGAAAGAATTAAACCCAAGTTGAACAATCCTCCTATTTGTATAAACCCTAGTTGAATTTGTATTATTCAAAGAAGCATATAAGAAACAAAGAAGAACCTTTTTTTTTTTTTGAGCATCAACAAAATTTTATTAAAAAAGAAAAGTGAAAGAGGACAAGAAGTCCTCATACAAAGAAAGAGAAGGAACAAAACAAAAGCACAAAATTCCTAGCCCTGGGAATGGCAAACATCAGTCCAATCCCTAGAGATCAAGAACAAAGGGACTCCTTTAAAAGGAGGGGATACAAATGTCTAAAACGAAGCCAAATATCCAGCCCTATCCCACAAAGCTTCTACACTTGATTCCTTGCCATCAAAGATTCTAGCTATAGGGAACATTGTTGTTAGGAATATTGCTCTCTTGGGCAAATGGTTGTGGAGATTTCTTATTGACAGTGATTCACTATGGTGTTCAGTTGTTAAAAGCGAGTATGGAGTTCAACCCAATGGTAGAGATTCTAACATGGTTAATAAAGGCAATTGTCGTCCACCGTGGAAGTCTATTTCTCGTTTGTATCCACTTGTGTCTAACTTCCTTTCGTTGAGAGTGGGGAATGGGGTGTCCATCCGTTTTTGGGAGGATGTTTCGTTAGAGGATATCTCGCTTAGAGCTTTTCCTCTTCTTTATCGGTTGGTTCGTTTTCGGAATGTTTTGATAACGTTGGTGGCATGCTCTTCTATGGCATCCATCTTTTGGAATTTTGATCTCATTAGAAACTTGAATGATAGGGAGGCTGTGGAGTTGACATCTTTGTTGGTATTGCTTGAGGGGGTTTCTCTTTCTTCCTCCCGTGACATTAGGGTTCGGAATCTTGTTTCTTCAGGGGTCTTTTGCCATAAATCCTTTTTTGATAGGCTTATTGGTAATCCCTTTGTTCCCTTGTTTCCTATTCATAAGAAAATTTGGAAAACAGTTGTCCCTCATAAAATGAAGTTCTTCATGTGGTATTTGGCTCCAAAGGGTGTCACAACTAATGATGTCTTCCAAAGAAGAAGGCCTAATCACTCTCTTTATCCTCAATAGTGTGTGAGGTGCAAGAGGAATTCAGAGGTAGCAGATCATTTATTCCTTCATTGCCCAGTGGCTTTTGTATTATGGCAATGGCTTTTCAGCTTATGTGATAATCAGTGGGTTGTTCCACGGGACTAGATTTAAATGCTTCTTACTAGGTTCAAAGGGTTTGGGAGCACCAAGAGAGCCAAAACAATGTGGACAAGCATTGTTTTTGCTAACAAAGAAGAACCTATTAATACAAACCATTAATATAGCTCAAAAATTTAGAATCATAGGATTATGCATTAGTAATATCTTTAGTAAAGTTCTATCTATCTTGTTAGTTACCATATTAGCATTCAAGAAATATTTATTTTACTAACTTATTTAGTTGGTTCTAGTTAATTGCTAGTTAGTATAGAAATTCAGAGTATTTAATGAAAATATATCATGTTGTTTATCCCCAAAAAAATATGAAAATATATCATGTTAAGATGGGCAGATTCATTTTACTTTCTTCAATTTACATTTTAAATTAGTTGTCCTCGTGTTCTATTTGTTTTTTGTTTCCTAGAGAATAAATCCATTTTTATTATTATTTCCAGTCATTAATTTCTAGTAAACGCAAAAAAGATAGTCAATTTATATTTATTTGTTTCCTATGTGCTTCCTACAAAAATACACGAGAGATTTTCCTGTTAGTTATATTTTTCTACTTTTACTTGAGTTCCAGTTAAGCATTCGTTAGATGTGTTGTAAATATCCTTTAACTCATACAGGTTCCAGCAGGTATTTAACATTTTTTCTTTCAGCTTTGTAAAAGTTTCTTAATGAGATTATTAGGTTTCTCATTCGATTGTTGATTGTTTGTACAAGAAAATACTGTTTTCTACTTCTTATTCTCGGTACTATCCCACTTACTCCAAACTATCAACCAATGGCAGCTAAATTGCTGATTCTTGTCTACAAGTCGTGCGCATACGTTCCATCCAACTGTTTGAACCAAATTTTAAGGTCGACAGGATGGGTTATTGATTAGATTAATTTTTAGGGGTTGTGTTATTTGGGAAATTTTTCTTTTCTTTTCACAACTGCAAATTTGGGTTAATAGAATGTTATAACAGGAGATACGATAATTAGCTATTTCTTATTGTTCTCTTTTATTTTGTGCCAGGAAATGCAATAAATCCACTACCCTGGGGAGCTTGTTACTTTGATTTTGTCGAGTTTGCTGATTGTCAGAACCATTAGTAACATGAAGAGAATCATGAAGAAAATGCGTCGATCACTTTCAGACATAATCAGTAATCTTCCAGAAAGTGTAAAAGAAACAATCTTAGCGTGTTTGTCAATACAGGATGCAGTGAGGACTAGTGTTTTGTCAACAAAATGGAGGTATACCTGGACGAAACTTCCCCAACTTGTATTTGATGATACATTCTGCAGCGACTTGTTCTGCAAAACCAAGGATAAACTTATGACGATTATTTATCAAGTTCTGTTATTTCATCATGGACCAATACCCAAGTTCACATGCTCTTTATCTGGACTGAAAAGTTGTTCGGAGTTCGATCAGTTGATACTTTTCGTTTCAAAAAAAGGTATCCAGGAGTTGAACCTCAACATTCAGAATGGTGAACTTTATAAATTGCCATCATCACTATTTTCATGTCTTCAACTCAAGATTTTGACTCTCCATTCTTGTATATTTAAATCTCCACCTGAATTTAAAGGATTTAGCAGGCTTCTTAAACTGGAGCTTTACGAAGTAGTTGTTACAGCCGACATACTTTCAAGGTTAATCTCCAGTAGCCCACTACTTGAGCGACTGTCACTTCAAAACTCCACCAGTATAGATTGCCTTGAAATTAATGCTCCTAATCTTAGATTCTTACTCTGCGAAATCCATGCCGGTTCTATTTGTTTAAAAAACGCCGTTCAACTTGCAAGCATTGCAATTGATTTAATGGCGTCCATGGATGTGGAAGAATTTGAGGAAGCAGAAACTTCCAAATTGGTGACGCTTTTTGGTAATCTACCTGTCATTGAGTTTCTGGAATTGGACTATTATTATCTTCGGGTGAGATTAGCTTAGTAAACCACTCTTTTGTTTCTTTCTGTGTGTGTGTGTGTGTGTGTGTGTGGAGGATTTTGTAAGTGACCCATGTTTCTTTGATTTTTATTTTATTTTATTTTCTTTTGCTTCTAGTATATGTCTGCAGGTGGTGTACCAAAGAGGCTTCCAACTACTTTGAACAACCTTAAATTTCTCTACTTGAATCAAATTTGTTTTGGGCAACTAAATGAGATCTTGGTTTTTCTTTGTTTAATTAGAAGCTCTCCAAACTTGGTAAAAATTAGAATTCTGGTAAGTAATATTATTATTTCCTATGTTTATAATGTAAATTTGGAATCTTTAGGCTGAGACACAATTCCGTTTTCTTCTTTCCAGGTACATACTGATGAAACTGCTGATGATGTTATTGATAATCCTGTTCTAAAACTTTTAGAAAAGCAAGACTGGTCAGATGTTTCTTTAAATCAACTTCGAGCAGTGGAGATGTATGATATATCTATAATGAGGTCTGAATTGGAGTTTATTAAGCTTCTATTAGCCAAATCACCAATGCTGGAGACAATGATTATTAAGCCTGACCCAGTGGAGGTTGCTGACAAAGGACCGACAACCAATGTTATAACTAACATGTCTGCAGCATGTGTACCAAAGGGGCTTCAACCTACTATGAACAACCTTAAAACTCTCCAGTTTTTAGAAATTTGTTTTGGCCAACTAAATGATATCTCGCTTATTCTTTGTTTAATTAGAAGCTCTCCAAACTTGGAAAAAATTACAATTCAGGTAAGTAACGACAGAGATTATTATTTCCTATGTTTATAATGTGTATTTTGAATCTTTAGGCTGAGACAATTCCTTTTCTTTCTTTTTTCACAGGCATATGTCGATGAAGAAACTAATGCTGTTGATCCTGTTCTAGAACTTTTAGAAATGCAAGAGTGGTTGGACGTCTCGTTAAATCAACTTCAAACCGTGGATTTCTGGAATCTATCTGGCACAAGTTCTGAATTAGAGTTTATTAAGCTTCTATTAGTCATATCGCCCGTGCTGGAGGTAATCTTTATTGAGCCTGACTCAAAGAAGATTGTTGACAAAGGAGTGAGAATTTTGAAAGAGTTGGCCCAATTTCCGCGCTTGTCACCTAAAGCGGAAATCGAATTTGACGATCCAGATGAAGATTAAGTTTAGCAAATGGTTTGTGTCCTTTTTGGCCATCTTTGGTTTTAGTGGGACAGAGAGATGATATTTTTTGTGTTTGTTGCCTGATAGGTCCATATTTAAAAATAATTACTGCCGAGACATTCACTGTGGGGAAGTGGAACATCTTGAGGGCAAAAAATTGCTCTCCTTATAGGAAAAATAAAACTTCTTCAACAATTTAAATTATATGAAATTTGGTTGAAATTTGGCAATGATGTTTGTGATTGTGAATTTAAGTGCCACTTTTAACTTTATATCAAGTTTACATTTCCTGTTCCTCATTTCAGGTAATGAGTTAGGCAGGAATTTGGCATTGACACTGTGATCTACACACTTCACACAGTTTATTTTCCTCTTTAAATATCCTTAAGTTTAGTTTATTTTAATAAAAAATATTTTTTACATAATTTTTTTTTTAGAAATTATTTTTTGTAAAGGGTTGGAGGCAGTGGCTATGGTGGGTTGTTGTGATGGTGATGTGGTGGCATTGATAGGAGTTTAATTCAGAAAATATTTTTTATATTTTTCAAAGTGGAAAAAAATAAGGGTAAATTATAAATACACTTCTTGAGATTTGTTTAAATTACAGATTGATCTTTGTGATTTGAAAAGTTACAAATACTCCTTTATTATAATTTTTTATTTAAAAGAATTAACTGAAAAAATAAAATTCATAATTGCTCTCCTATACAATAATAAAATTACTTAATTTATTAATTGAAACATATTTTTAACATCATTAAAAATTATTAATTGACTTGATAATTTATTAATAAAATGAGCAATTTGTTATGAAATTAGATACCTCATGGGTGGAATGTAATTTTTAAAATCACAGGAGGCGATTCATATTTTAATAAAATCTCAGGAAGTGCATTTATAATTTATCCAAAAAAGAACTATTTAGAATTTAAAAAAATTCTCCAAAAACATTTATACAGTCCTCACCCAATTGAGCATAGCACCTTTTTGGTTCGATGTTTTCCAAACTCAAGTCCTTTTTGACTAGTGATCAATTCAAGTAGATTAATTCCAAATCCGAAAGTATTTAGTAGAATTTTAGAATTATAATTTGATAATAGAATTGTATTTTGAGTTTGTAAGTTTTAGAATTATGATTTGAAAAAATAAAATTTGTTTCGTTTTGAGTTTTGAATTGAGTTTTAGAATGAGTTTTGAAATTAGAAAAGTTATTTGATTAAAAAACTTACAACTCATAACCAAACACACAATCCAAAATTCTATTCAAAACTTATAAAAAAAATTTAAAAATTTTGAAAATATTTTTTTATTTAAAATATATAAAAAAAATAACATGTGTCAATTGTCAAAAAAAAAAAAAACACGAATATTGTTTCAGTCAATTGGCCGAACGTTCGAGAGACGTTCGAAGGATTACCAAATAGACGTGTTTTTAAAAATAAGTGTAGAATCAACTTTTAAAAACTCTAATCAAACACCACACTCAAACAAAAAAATGAAATATAGTTTTGAAATCTCCACCAATCTAGAGCTATATGCCTCATGATTCCTCTAACAGCCATGGTAAGAATTCCGATGATATCTATCACAAATCTAAGCAATTCAGACAATTGCTATAAGTTTGGGTTAAAAATTGAGACTAGCTTACACAATCTCTCAACCTCCCTGAATTATCTGAAAACTTAAGTAAAAATGTTAGAAATTTTAAAAAATTTATCAAAAATTTTACCAAATGTGATATGGGATAAGACCCACATTGTATAATGTCCCATACTTATGTGAAGCATTTGATAGAAACTTTAATAGAATTTTTGGATCCTTAGCATTACTCAAACTTAAAATAAAAATAAAAATAAAAAATTAAAAAGAAGGGTTAGGAGCCTTGTCCCAATTTCCAGTTCACACGTCTGTCTATCGGATCGTACTGCCAGGTGTCCATGCAATATAAATGCCGAAAACCGTTTCTGCGTATCTCTTTCTCTCCCGTTTTCTTCAACCAGTTTGCTCCGCCTCGGCCACAGTACTCTCTCTCTCTCTCAAAATCTGTATCATCCTAGAATTTTGACGCTTTTGAAGTCTGTAAATTTTAATATTCGGAATTTGGTAACAGGGATTCGAAGTAGAAATAGAAGCAACCATGATACAAGGAGGTTGACAGAGACCACCACCACCCAAGTAAAGATTTCTTCTTTGACCTTTCATTTCACTTTATCACTTTATTTATTTATTTTTAATTTTTTTTTTAATATTTGAAATCTAATCTTGTTTTGTTTTGTTTTGATTGAGGAACTCAGTTATAAGATTTGATTTGGTTTGGTTTCTTTGATGTTTCTTTAATTCCGTACTGTAAGGAATTTGATTCAACTTACTCAAATAGTTGGTACGAATTTTATTTTTATTTTTAGGGGACATCGGAATAATGTGAGTTTTTGGTACTATAAACATGCATTTCATATTGAAAATATATATATTATAAATTGTTCAAACATTATTTTGTAGGCAGCGACACTCGACAATTGTTTTCCTCTCAAAATCTGACTCCATCAATTGTTTTCTGCTTCTTATTCTAGTTCCTATCTCACAGACTCCACACTATCAACCAATGGTGTGCTTGTGGCAGCTAAATTTCTGATTCTTGTCTACAAGTTGTGCGCATATGTCCCATCCAATTGTTATTGATTAGATTAATTTTTAGGTGTGTTATTTGGGGAATTTTGCTCTGGATTTTCATTTTTTTCTTTCCATAACTGCAAATTTTGGTTAATAGAATGTTGTAACAGGAGATATGGTAAGAAGTTATTCCTTATTGCTCTTTTATTTTGTGCCAGGAAATGCAATAAAAACACTACCTTAGTAACTTGGTACTTTGATTTGGTTACGCTTGCTGATTGTCAGAACAGTTAGAAATATGAAGAGAAACACGAAGGAAGTGCGTGGATCAACTTCAGACATAATCAGTAATCTTCCAGACAGTATAAAAGCAACAGTCTTAGTGTGTTTGCCAATACAGGATGCGGTGAGGACTAGTGTTTTGTCAACGAAATGGAGGTATATCTGGACAAAACTTCCCCAACTTGTATTTGATGATAACTTCTGCAGAGAATCAGCCAGAAAATCCAAGACTGAACTTATGATGACTATTTATCAAGTTCTGTTACTTCATCGTGGACCAATACCCAAGTTCATACTCAATTTATCTAGATTGGAAAGTTGCCCGGAGATGGATCAGTTGATACTTTTCCTTTCAAACAATGGTATCCAGGAATTCACCCTTCTCATTGAGAAGGGTGAACCTTATAAATTGCCGTCATCATTATTCTCATGTGAACAACTTAGGTATTTGAGTCTTCGTTCTTGTGTATTTAAATCTCCACCTGAATTTAAAGGATTTAGCAGGCTCCTTAAACTGGCGCTTTACAGAGTTTTTGTTGCTTCTGACACACTTTCAAGTTTAATCTCCAGTTGCCCACTACTTGAGAAACTGTCACTTAAAAGGTCCTTCAGTTCAGATTGCCTTGAAATTAACACTCCCAATCTTAGGTTCTTAGCCTGTGAAATCTATGGCAGTTCTATAAGTTTAAAAAATACCACTCGACTTGCAAGGGTTTCAATTTGTTTTATGGGGATCTTTAATGCGGAAGGAATTACGCAAGCGGAAACTTCCAAATTGGTCATGCTTTTTGGTAGTCTACCTGTCGTTGAGTTTCTGCTATTGGATTATCATACTATTCGGGTAAGATTAGCTTAGTAAACCACTTCTTTTTTTTCCTTTTTTTTTGTTGTTGTTTGGCAGGATGTTATAAGTAAGTCAACACATGTTTCTTTGATTTTTTTTTTCTTCTTTTGCTTCTAGTACATGTCTGCAGGTGGTGTACCAAAGAGGCTTCCAACTACTTTGAACAACCTTAAAACTCTGAAGTTGTTGTCTATTTGTTTTGAGGAAGTAAATGAGATCTCAGTTATTCTTTGTTTAATTAGAAGCTCTCCAAACTTGGAGGAAATTACAATTGTGGTAAGAAACAACAGATATTTTTCTTTCCTATGCTTATAATGTATATTTTGAATCTTTAGGCTGAGACACAATTCTATTTTCTTCTTTCCAGGTACGAAGGTGTGAAACTGCTGATGTTATTGATCATGTTCCACAACTTCTAGAAATGCAAGACTGGTCAGATGTCTCTTTAAATCAACTTCAAGTAGTGGAGTTGGGCAATCTATCTGGCACACAGTCTGAATTGAAGTTTATTGAGCTTCTATTAGCCATATCGCCGGTGCTGGAGACAATGTTTATTCAGACCGACTCAGAGAAGGTTGCTGACAAAGGACTGAGAATTTTGACAGAGGTGACACGATTTCCACGCTGGTCACCTCATGCAGAAATCAAATTCGAATATAAAGATAAAGATCAAGTTTAGCAAATGGTTTGTGTCCTTTTTGGCCATCTTTGGTTTGAGTGGGACAGAGAGATGATCTTTTCTGTGTTTATTGTCTGATAGGTCCATATTTAAAAATTAAAACTGCTAAGACATTTACTGAGGGAAAGTGGAACATCTTGAGGGCAAAAAATTGCTCTCCTTTTAGGAAAAATAAAACTTCTTCAACAATTTAAATTATATGAAATTTGGTTGAAATTTGGCAATGATGTCTGTGATTGTGAATTTAAGTGCCACTTTTAACTTTATATCAAGTTTACATTCCCTATTCCTCATTTCAGGTAATCAATTAGGCAGGAACTTGGCATTGACACTGTGATGTACACACTTTACACAGTTTATTCTCCTCTTAGTACTCTAAGGTTTTGTTAGGTTTTATTTATTTTGACAGAAAATATTTTTTACATAATTTTTTCCAGAAACTATTTTTGCAAAGAGGTGGGTTGGAGGCAGTGGCTGTGGTGGGTTCTGATGGTGTCATTAGTAAGAGTTTAGTTCAGAAAAATATCTTTCATATTTTCTGGAGTGGAAAATGTTTTCATCTAATTATGCTTGTTTTTTGTTGAAAATACTTTCTATTGACTTTTGTCTTTTTGTTATTTTAAATGTCGGAATACGCACAATATATATATATATATATTCTTAGGCAATTTGGGAACATGGTAAAAAGTCATCACCTTTTAAGCTTTTTTACACAAAAAAAGCCACAAAAAGTCAGAAAAGCCAACTTTTTTAGCAAAAAAATCAAAAAAGCAAAAAAAGTCGGCTTTTTATCAATTTCCCAAAACACCACTCTATCCAAACGAATGCAGTTTT